ATCGGAAACTAAAATCTTAGCAATTGAACCTTTCCCCTAAAGGGCGTGCACGTCTGTGTTTTGCACTGAATCTTGTTCTAGATACTTTTCTAGTATATACTTACTTTTCTGGGCTATCCAGTAACTTTATTGTTTCTTTTATTTAGATAAATTTAATTACACCTTGTGGAAAGGACAACTGTTAAATAAAGGAAAGCTTCTGTGTTACATTTCTTTGAGGTCAGCCACTCGTACTTTTTTGCCTATCAAACTGTAAGTATATTATGTTAGAAGAAAATAGTGGGAGGGATGATGGGAAAGATGGTGGGGGAGGGAATGAATGAGAACAAAATATGACATACATGTATGAAGATTCCATGATGTAACCTCTTATTTTGTATGCTAACCTAAAAAAAAACATGAGCCAGTCATGGTGATGCATGCCTTTAATCCCAGCACTCTGGAGGCAGAGGCAGACATAGGTCTGAGCTGGAGGCCAGCCTGGTCTACATAGTAGTTTCAGGCCAGTCAGAGCTACATAGTAAAACTTGTCTCCTGAGGAAAAAATTATCGGGGCTGGAGAGATGGCTCAGTGGTTAAGACCACTGACTGTTCTTGCAGAAGACCCAGGTTTGAACCCCAGCACCCATGTGGCAGCTAACAACTGTCCGTAACTCCAGTTCCAGGGGTTCCGACAGCCTTTTCTGTCCTCCGTAGGCATTGCACAACACGGGTGCACTTACCTACATGCAGGCAATACACACATACACATAAAATAAAAATAAAAATTTTTAAAAATTATCATAATTAGATTGTTCACGTTGCAGTTTGTTTGTAATAGGCGTAGAAGTTGACCAGTTTTAGTGAGATACGGTGGCAAGTGTTTCTAATTCCAGTAGTTGGGTAGCTGAGGCAAGAGTCTGAGTTTAAGGGCAGTCTTGGCTGCATAGCAAGTTCCAGACATCTGTATTGCAGACCATAGTGAGGTCCTGTCTCAAAACAAAATGGGGAAACAAAAGAAACAAACAGACCACCCCCCTCCAAAAAAACCAACAGTTAACCAATTCTTTATTAGAAATTTGTTGAGATAAGTTAACAAATACACTGTTTTCTGAGCAACATGTATTAGAATTGAACATTCAAAAATGGTAGTTTGATACTATTGCAGTAATGTAAAAGTTTGAAGATTTGATTTATTTCGTATTTGAGGCCTGAGGATATATATATAGGTCAGTGGTGAGTGCTTGCCTAGCATGCATGAGCCCGTGGGTTTAATCCTCATTGTCTCAAAAACAAAATAGAAAACAAGCCAGTTCATGCTTGAATTGTAAATGACAACTGTTTGTTTATTTATTGTTTTTAATCCACATTTATTCCAGAAATAAAAACCAAAACCCCTAAAACTTTAGATTTTAAATGTTTGTTTGTTTATTTATTTTTTTTGGTCTTTTTGAGACAGGGTCTCCCTGTGTAGCCCCAGCTGTCCTGGAACTCACTGTATAGACCAGGCTGGCTTTGAACTCACAGAGATCTGACTGCCTCCGCCTCCTGAGTGCTGGGACTACAGGCGTGCACCACTACGCCCGGCTCTTTATTTTTATTTTAATACGTGTATTAGTGGTTTGTCTACATCTTTTTGTTAATGAAATTAGCATGTCAGATTATATCCTTAAGGATGTATGGTTGGCAATATTTCTAGTTATCTGTTTACCTGTGTATAGATAAGATACCTGAACTTCAGAATAAGGTGAGCTGTTAATGAAGATATCTTTCTATTTCCCATCAATTTTTTTTTTTTTTTTTTTTTTTAAAGTCTTTTTTGAGACAGGATCTCCTGTAATCCAGCTGGCCTGGAATTCACTATGTAGACCAGGCCGGCCTTGAACTTACAGAGATCCGCCTGCCTTTGCCTCCCAAGTGCTGGAACAGGGTCTCATGTAGATTAGTGCTGGTCTTAAACTCACCGTGTACCTGAGGATGACCTTGAACTCCTGATTTTCCTACCTCTATCTACCAAATGCTAGCATTATAGGTATATGCCACCATGCCTAGTTTATATTGTGATGGAAGTGGAACCCAGGGCTTTCTGCATGCTAGGCAAACACTGTGCCTGTTGAACTGCACCCCCCCCATTAAGTATATATATATATATATATTTTGTTTTCTTTCAGTCCTGAGAAATTAGATGTTGAAACAGTTATGAGTATTGATTATTTGAAACAGAAAATTCCTCCTGCATTGTTTTATAAAGAAACGTACTTGGGTCTGAATGAAGGTAAGTAATTATATTTTACTAAAATATGTAGGAAGAATTCTTGATTGATATTTAACTGTTTTTTTTTCTTATGTCAGTTTTGAAGAATGGTATGTATTGTACCCTTTACGAAGTTGTAGAAAAGACAAGAGTTGGAAGTAACATGGAGTGTTTACTGCAAAAACTGGAGAAAGAAAAACTCGTGAGTGAAAGTTTTAAATATTCCCATTATCCTTTGAAAAATAGCATATTAATAAGTAATTGTATTAGTATTTTAGTTTGCTTTTATCTCTGGAAGTTCCACAGGTCTCTGTTAGGTGCTCTCAGTGAGTAGTATTTTTTTTTTTTTTTTTTTTTT